ATTAATTGTCTTAATTAGCTATGTATATTATTTATTTATTGTTTAATTATTTTTTTAATCACTTAATTAAATAAAAATTAATATTTAATTTAATTTCTTATTTAGATATTTCATTAATTAATTATCTTAATTGGTTATGTATATTATGCATTTAAAATTTAATTACTTTATTTAATTATTTATTTAATCACTTATTTAAATAAAAGAATTAATATTTATTTTAATTCTTATTTAAATATTTCATTAATTAATTATGTATATTCTTTATTTAATATTTAATTACTTTGTTTAGTTATTTATTTAATGACTTAATTAAATAAAAAAATAATATTTAATTTAATTTCTTATTTAGATATTTCAGTAATTAATTATAGTAATTGGTAATGTCTATTATTAATAATTAATATTTAATTACTTAATTTTAGTTAGTTATTTAAATAAAAACATTACACTATAATGTACAAGTGACATAACATTATTGTAGATTTGAAAAACAGTTTTTTTGATCCTCCACTCATGAAATTCCACATGTACATTATGGACATTCTTATGAATTAGTACATGTAGAATTATCCAATATTTTATTTGATTTCTTGTTTAAATATTTTTTTATTAATTACCTTAATTGGTTATGTATATTTAATTATTTATTTTAAGCATTTACTCAAATAAAAAATTAATATTTAATTTAATTTCTTCTTTAAATATTTCATTAATTAATTATCTTAATTTGTTATGTATATTGTTTATTTAATATTTTATTACTTTATTTAATCACTTATTCGATTAGAAAATTAATATTTAATTTAATTTAATCTTTAAATATCTCATTAATTAATTATCTTGATTGGTTATGTATATTATTTATTTAATATTTAATTAGAACATAAATTACACAGTGTATGAGAATATCTAATAGAGATAGAAGTCGAACTTTAGGCATAGTCACATTTTTAATACATTGAATATTATTCAAGAATGTCGAAACTATGTTTCCTATACCAAATGAAGTTGAGTGAGAAATTTTCGATTATAGTATGTTACTCTCTACTCAACGGATGTGTAATATCTATTTAAATCCTATATACTCTCTATTTATAGTGCGTTGCTGATTTTCTCAATTTTCTTTATTTATAGTGTGTTATATATGTAATTAAGAGTAATTAGTTATTTATTATACAATTACATAAAAACTAAAGTATTACAAACGTTTTAAAAAAAATGCTTACATTTGAAATTATTACAATTACGGATCACAATATACATAAAAAAACGCTTGCATTTTAATGTGTGTTTAGTTTGTCAGCTCTACGCCACGTTTGATACTAAAAATTCAATATACTTCAATTAGAACTGTCAATGGATTGGATTTTGATCTGAATTTGATGAAATTAATGGGAGATGGATTTAGGGTCTCAATTCGATAACCCAATCGAGATTCGAATTCGATAATTCGTTGACTAAATGAATCAATAGATTGGATTTTAATCCGAATCCTATTTGAATTCGATGAAATTAATGGGAGATGAATTTATGATCTTAATCCGATAACCTAATCGAGATTCAAATCCGATAATCCATTAACTAAATGAATCAAATATGGATATAGGTCATTCCGATCTGATAAATAAATAAAATCTTTAATTTTCTAATTTTTTCAATTTCGGATTGGATATCCGATGACATAGTTAATTGGATGTGGATTTAACATTCAAATATCCGTCGGATTATTGGATCGGATCGGATAGGATAATTATTATTAACGGATCAGATCAGATCAAATATCCGCTACTCTCTGTCACTGTCTGGGACCCCTATTGCCTGCATAATGTATCTCCTCGAATATGACTCTGACCCTCCTCCTCAATCAACGGTGTCAGCTCAGTGAGCAATTCAAGCTGACATATTAACATTTTACCGAGTCAATGACTATGCATCGAGATTTTGAAATGACGTACAACATAAATCACAAATGAATAATATGTATCTCAGGATCGTTGAGGAGAGCTGATAACTGTCAGCTTTGTCTCCATGGATAGTTGTTGAATGTGTTAATGTCATCAACAACCTTCAAATGAAAGACGTTGATCGACGTCTTCTTGCGATGATACCTCAGTATGCTCTCTAGTATAAACATCATCCCCAACTTCAACTTGTCAAATATATCGTCGCATTCCTTGAATGCATCTCCTAACTGTACTAGAGTTACCGTCATAAGTAGGATTAGTATAACAGGTCTGCATACTCCTCATCCAACAAATTTAGGACTAATGTAAAGTTGGCAAAGTTATAGTCTTCAACTTGTAAAACATATCGCCGCATTCCTTAAATGCATCTCCTAACTATGCTAGAGTTATCGTCATAAGTAGGATCAATGTAACAGGTATGCGTGCTCTTCATCCAACAAATCTTGAACTAATATGAAGCTAACAAAATTATAGTTTGACGTAACTTTGTTGGGAATTTGTCTCATGACGGCGTCCAAATGGTAATCCATCTTATAAAATTTAAAATATTTATATTTCTTTATTATTTATGTCAATTAATTATTTTTATTGCTTAATTAACATTTAAGTTACTTGTTTATTGAATTTATTTCAATTAGTTATTTATTATTTCAATTAATTATTTTAATTTTTTTAGTAATATTTATTTAATTTATTTCAATTAGTTATTTATTTCTTATTTAAATAAACAATATACATAAATAATTAAAATAATTCATGAAATATTTAAATAAACAAATAAAGTATAAAATGAATAATTATATATTAAACAAATAATATACACCAACAATTAAAGTAATTAATTGAATATTTAAATAAACAATTAAATTAAATATTGATTTAGTAAATCACTTATTAAATTTTTAATTTAATTTTTTTATTTAAATATCTCATTAATTATTTTAATTGGTTGTGTATATTGTTTGTTTAATATTTAATTACTCTATTTAATTACTTATTTTAATAGTTTATTTCATATCTATTTACTTCATTTAATTATTTATATTAGTTTCTCATTTATTTTAATTGTTTATTGAATATTCAATTGTTTATTATATTTATTTCATTATTTATATTTTAAATAAAATAAAATGAAAAACAATTAATTATTTTACTTAAATAAACAATTTACATAATTCATGAAATATTTATAAACAATTAAATTCAATATAAAAAAATGGTTGGCACGTTGGGCCAATCCAAACGGTTGAATCCAACACTGCTGTAAAACTGGCAAAGTTACAGTTCGACGTAATTTTGTCAGGAATCTGTTTCAAGGCGACATCCAAACGGTAATTCATCCTACAAAATTTCAAATATTAGAACATTTGAAACATAATGTCAAAAAATCCAACTAACCGAATTGTAAGTAATATACGCACGAAATAACGGATAATAAAGAAAATGAATTACAAGATTAGACAACAAATTATAAAAAGCGAAAACTAATTTTTGTAAAATTATTTATTTCATAGTTTATTTTAATTCTTTATTATTTATTTTAATTATTTATTTATTTAATTTTGATTATTTATATTTAATTAATTATTTAAATAAATTATTTTGAATATTTATATTTCTTATTTAATTATTTATTTAAATAAATTAAATAAATTATTTTGAATATTTATTTTAATTAAATTTTAATTACAAATTTTGATTATTAACATTTATTCATTATTTACATTTTTCATTTAATTATTATTTAAATGTTCATTATTTATTCCAATCGTTTTTTATTTATTTGTTTCAATTGTTCATTTAAATTATTTGATTTGATTATTTAAATTATTTATTGAACAAGTAAACGTAAATATTTAATTTTTATTTTAAATGTTAGAAATTTATTTCAATTAAATTTTAATTACATATTTTGATTATTAACATTTATTCATTATTTACATTTTTCATTTATCATTTAAATAATCATTTAATTATTATTTAAATGTTCATTATTTATTTTTATGCATTTAAATTAATTATTTATTCCAATTATTTTTCATTTATTTGTTTCAATTGTTCATTTAAATTATTTGATTTAATTATTTATATTGATTGATTATTTAAATTATTTATTGAGCAAGTAAACGTAAATATTTAAATTTTATTTTAAATGTTAGAAATTTATTTCAATTAAATTTTAATTACATATTTTGATTATTAACATTTATTCATTATTTACATTTTTCATTTACATAATCATTTAATTATTATTTAAATATTTTTTATTTATTTTTGTGCATTTAAATTAATTATTTATTCCAATTATTTTTCATTTATTTGTTTCAATTGTTCATTTAAATTATTTGATTTAATTATTTATATTGATTGATTATTTAAATTATTTATTGAACAAGTGAACGTAAATATTTAATTTTTATTTTAAATATTAGAAATTTATTTCAATTAAATTTTAATTACATATTTTGATTATTAACATTCTTCATTTAAATAATCATTTAATTATTATTTAAATGGTTATTATTTATTTTTGTGTATTTAAATTATTTATGGAATACGACAAAAAAAAATTGAGGGAAGCCCAGCTGCCCTCTAGAAAAGACGACCCAACAGACTATCTGGGCCGTCAGGCCGTCCTCTCCTCCCTTTCTTCTCCGATCCAAGTGCTGGGGATCGCTATTTTGGCTCGAAAACATCTCAAAAAATATCATTTTCAGTAATTTTATATAATTTATAAAGATTTCTACCATTATTTTCAACAAGATTTCTTCCCCTTCTTTTTCAGACATCGGTTTGAGAGTGATTTGTTAGGGGCAATATTGAATTTTTATTATTTTTAAGGTTTTTGCAAATTTTTCAATTTTTTTTAAACAGTAATCAACGACTATTTTAAAAAAATGACTTTTTTTTT